AGCTATTAAGATGTTAAAATGTTAAGGTAACTGTTAAAATGTTAAGATGTTAAATGTTAAGGTAATTGCTAAAATGCAGGGGTGGGGGGATATTAAAAATAATTTCTTAAATAGGGATTAAAACCAAAGAAAACAAGAATGTTTTAAAATGAGAGACTATGGCAACTTCAGGGGGAATGATATTTGGGATGGCAAAAGAATACCGTATTATGCCCTCAAAGCAGGCTTAAATTATACGGCATGAAAAATTACTTAATATTCAGAGAACTTTCAAATCATGTAAGACCATACAAAGACTTGTACGGAGGTAACTGTTGATCATGAAGTCCAACTTATCCACGTGAAACAGTGGCACACAGAAATAAGTATAAAAAAGTTTTTTAATGAGCTCAGAAGAGTGAATTTTGAATATTTATAATAAAAAAACTTATTATGAGTTCCAAGGGATAGACTGTTATTCTTAATTAGATACATAAGTGCTGAGAAAAAGATTTAAATATGATTTTGAGGCATATCATTATCCAAGTTCTAAGTCTTGGAATTATTGCATAGCAGGTTGATAATGTTCTCGTGTTTAATTAAAATATTAACAAAACATATACATAGTTAAAAGATGTAAATAATTTGGGACAGTTCATTAAATTAAATTAGGCACACAAAAAATAAAAATCTAAAAATGCAGGCTTTAATGAAAACCTAATATTTTAGGTCACACAGAGAATTCAAATTCTATTCACTTGTATTTCTCCAATGGACCCAAACAGCTCTAACCTTTGAGCTTTTTCTACCCTCTCCCTATCCTACTAGTTAGTTATTCCTTGTTATTTCTAGCTATTCCTAGTTATTTCTAGTTATTCCTAGAAAGTTAGTTCAGGTCCTATCATCCAGTAATCACTGCTAGATACACACGCAGTCTGAGTTCTTCAATGTATATGGCTATCAAAGCACTTGTCACCTTGTAAAGCAATTAACTATTGATTTGTACAGTCAAATCAACAAACTGTGAACTTACTAAAAGTAGGGAACACAGTTCTCAGATTCTGGAACATACATGGCACTCAGCAGAAGGCCTATGACATTCGTGTATATGAAACTGTAGTTAGGAAGAAACATCCATAGAACAAAATTTTAAAGTTAACCTGAAGACTATCTGTGAAAATCTTCAATGCAGGAAGGAGTGCTGTACAAAACTAGAAACTGAGAAAGCCCAAATTTAACTGATGGAATTTACTACAAATTCTAAAAACCATCAGTCATTTCCACTTTTCCTCGAAGACATCAGAAAACTAAAACAAAAAGATTTATCTTTGTCAACAGTGAAATTACTTAATTAAAACTATAGGATTTATAATTAGTACGTGAGTGCAAATAAAGTGCTTAAATTGTGAGTGCTCACAATGCTATAAATAATCAGAAGACAGACATGCCAAGATACTTCATGAAAGTCTTTCAGCCTCATTTCACATAGGGACCAATTATACACTCTCTTAAGGGTTCCTGTAATATTTTAATTTCAAGCAATATATTCCTTCTTTCTGGTTAAAGAACCCTTACCTTTTACTGCATACACTACTTTTTGCAGTTCCAATCTTTAGGGAAGTTGGAATGAGATATATGGTGTGAAATCTAATTAGTTCTTTTCAATCTTGATAATGGGAACTTCATACTCTCTCAAAAAGCACATATGTTACTAACATTTCAAAAGCTGAAAAGCCCTTTGCAATGAGAATACTCTTTTCATGTGTTAGTACTTTGATTTGCTGAATTACAGATACTGTGTTAAAAAGTTGGGAACCGGGGGAAAAAAACAAAGAATAAACATTACTTTACCATAAAAAATACAATCACATATTTCAGAACATAAATTTCTCAGACTTATGCATATTCCTTTCAAGCTGCAGTAACTGACGATTACATTTCAGAATCCTCTAAAACATATCAAGTTCAAGCACATCATAGGTCACCTACAACTTGTAAATTTTTCAGATTTTAAAAGTTTGGACAGGATAAGAAAACACGAAATTTTAATCACTTCACTAACACAGATGAGAAAAAATATTTCCAGAAAGATTTATAAGGTATAACTTTGATTCAGTATAACAAGCAGACAAAAAACTCAGAAGTCCAATCAAGCAATTAAAATAGGGGATACAAGGATAGCAAATTATATTCATATATTATATATACACATATATTTTACTTATTATATTCATATATTATATATACACATATATTTTACTTAAAACACAACAGATTATTTTCATATTTACCTTCTGACTAGAAAAAAATCTAAAAATTAAAATATTTTAATATTTTTGTATGGCAAAAATATTAAATTACACAACAGACACTGATAACCCAGCATATTTTTAAAACAAATATGACTGCAATTTAACTGCCCGGGTAACAAAGAATTCCAATTTTATTCACCTTTTCCCCACAACCCATATTGGTAAGTCAAGGCAAAATAGATACCAGTAACTATTTGGAAGCCATGTTGGGGAGTATTCCACATAGAACTCCAGTTTATAGCTCTTGGAATGTGGGACAAATTGTGACTGTCCCAGCCACTGAAAAAACAGCAATACTTGAAAAGGATAATTCCATCAAGAACAAAAGAATTTATAATTTTGATGTCTCTCTTGAAAAATGCTGGTTTGTAGTACCGACCGGTTTGTAGTTCACAAGTGGTTGTATGACCCTTACTTGCTACAATTATCAAAACATAGCTCTCATCAGCTTTGCGAATATGATGGCTAAAACAACAGCAGCAAAAAAAAAAAATCCAGCTGTTCGCTGCCACTAATTTTTCTCATAATATCACTCCTTAACCCATAAAAACGATAACAATTTTAAAAATGCATTTGACAATGACAGGTCTGAATACAAATGCCAACGTAGGATAAATGCAGTTGTTTTTTCAAAAACTCAACAAAAAACTTGGGAAGTAGTATCCTCAGAAGACAGGTCAGGTCCATACTTCAAAATCGGCATTTCAAGGATATAGTTTTCTATCTTAGCTTGATGTTACAATTAAGTCATTAGAATCCTACAAACCTTTTAGACAAAGCCTTTGTCTGGGGTCTATGTCGCAAATGTGTATTTATAAGAAAAGTTGTAGGGCACCTTATGTTCAAGCAAGTATTTAAAAGACATCACATGCAGTCTAAGTTCCATACGTATACACGGTCATTTACATACTTTAGTCCTAAAAATTCTGGTCACTGTCACTTAGAAAAACATCAACACTTGAAACAAAAAATGTTGCAGACTGTACCCAACATCTAAGTCTCTTCAAATACATAGTAACAACCCGCAATCAGGGCTAACGCATAGAAAGGCGAGGGCAGACAATAACACGCTAATACACAGGTCCTTCAAATGAAAACATTTTTTTCAGCGCTGATGCTACATTTAGATACAAAAATATCCAGTTCCACAAATGCACCCGGGAAAGCTGAAAAACGTCAGGAGTAAGTTTAACAAACACTCATCCCTACGAGCAGCTACCACCGCCGTCTGGGAAGACAGGGAACAAAACTGCACAGGTGGAGGCTGAGCTCCAGCCTGGCGGTAGAGGGGCTGGGAGCAGCAGCCACACCGTCCACATCTGCAACCCAATTTGGCTTCAGCATCCCCAGAGACTCCGAAAACATTTCTTTGGGTAGGTTGCAAAACAGCGCTTCCTCTTTTATTCTCATCACCCCCATTAGGCTCCAAAGCAACAGAGACCCCCAAAAAAAAAAAAAAAATCCGATCAACTCCACGGTCAGCACGTCCCACTCCTGACAGTCCCTCCACCTGTTTGGAAACCCACGCGACCCCGGCCCAGGCGCCGCGCGCATTTTCGCCGGCGGTCCAGGGTCTGGAGTCTCCGGCTCCCACCTAGGCAGGGCGGGGGAGGGGACGGCGCAAAACAATGGACACGGAGGGGCCGGGGGAAAATCCTCCGTCCCGGCGCCCGAGCGCGCGGAGCTGGGGGAGCGGGGAGGGCGGGGGGTCTCCTCCTCCATCCCGCGGCGCGACCGCGGCGGGCGGCCCCCCAGGGTGTCCGGGGCAGCCCCGCGCCCGACACCCGCCCCGCCGGGCACCCCGCGCCGGCGCGCGCCCCCCGAGGGGCGCCGGGAGAGGTGGGCTCCGCGCGGGGCGGCGGGACCCGCCCGCGTCACCGCCGCCGCGCCTAGGCCGCGGCCGGCGGTCACACGCCCCCCGACGCCCCGCTCCGGGCGCCCCGCGGCCCGGCCCGGCGCCCCCGGGGGCGGAGGGGGCCGGACGGGGCGCCCGACGCCCCCGGCTCGCCCTCGCGCGGACGCTGCCCGGCGCCGCCGCCGCAGGCCCCGGCCGGCCGTTGTCAGAGCCGCGCCGGCCCGCGGCCCCCGGAGCGGGCACCGCGCGAAAGCCGGCCCCGGGCCCCGCCGGGCGAGGCGCCCCGGAGAGCGGCGGCCCGGCGCCTCCCAGCCCCCCGGCCCCTCGGGCCTCGCCCGGGCCCCGCCGGCGCGCGCTGTCAGGGCGCGGGGCCTCCCCCGCCGGCTCCCGGCCCGGCCGCCCGACGGGCAGGAAGGCGCGCAGGAAGCGCCGCCGACACACGCCCTCCCGCGCGGCGGCCCCCGGTTACCGTCGGGAGCCCGGAGCCCACCATCCTCCTCGCTCGCCCGCCTTCCTCCTCCTCCTCCTCCTCCTCAGCAGCGACGCTGCCCAACCGCCGCCCCCCGCCCGCCCCTCCCCCACTCGCCCCGCCCCGCCCCGCCCGCCCCTCCACACACTCCCGTTTCTGCCGCCCCGCCCCTCCCCTCCGGCGCCGGCCCGTCACTCGCTGGGGAAGAGAAACGGGCGGAGCCGGGGCCGCCGACGCGACCCAATCAGGGCGAGGCCCCGGCTGCCCAATCAGAGGGAAGCAGAGGTGCCAGCTTCCCCCTCTCCGCCCTCGCCCTATCCGCGGCTCTTCTGCGGCCTTTCTCCCGCCCACCGGGCGCCGCCGGCTAGCCCCGCCGCAGAGTCAGCCTGCGGCTCGGGAGAGTGACAGCTCCCAATCGGAAGTGACTGTGGAAGCTAAGGCGGCCATAACTGATGATGGCAAGGGGAGTTTCCGCGCCTCCCGTCTCCAGCGTGACGTCGTTTTTCCGTCGCCCAGATCTCACCGTTGCCCTGGGCAACAGCGGAGCCGTCAGCGGAGCGCTGCCTCTGTAAGTAGGCCCGAAAAGGACCCCAAAGTGACCAGACACCCCGCTCTAGACGAGTTCACTCATCGTCCGGACTACCTGCCCGGGTTGGGGACAGAAGGGGGTTTCCTGGCCGTTATTTTGTAGGCCGTCTGGTCACTTACCAAGGTGAACAAGAGTTTAGGGCTCCGAAAATCCCTGTCCTGCCCGGAAGTTGCATATGGCACTTCCGAATAGAGGTATGGCGGAAGGGTGGGAGTCTCCTGCGCCCCCTGCACCCCAGGAAGTGCCCATTCTCGACCGGAGCGACGAGGTGAAGCGAGCGTCCCTCGGCCCCGAGCGGAGGGGCAGGCCCCGGTGGTCAGGCCCCAGGGCGGCGGAGCGCCGAGCAGCCGAATGGGTCTCGGAGCCGCTTCCGCTGGAAGAAGGTTTTCTTTCCGGGCTGGCCGGGCGGCGGCCCGCCCTCCTCCGCCCCTCTGAGGCTTCCTGTGGGGCGAGGCCGCCCCACCGGCTCTCCGCGCCCGGCTGCAGCCTGCAGGGACTGGTGGGGTCTGGGCGCGGGCGGCCGGGCGGAGTCCTCCACGCCCGCTGGATGGAGCGCCGGACCACGCCCCCTCAAATTCCTCTTAAGTACTTTCACCCCCTGACCTCTGAGGACAAAGACTGGGGAGCTTGAGAAAATAATTTTCCACTCCCTGTTATAGGGGGGAAAGATGGTCTCCCACCTCCACGGCGAGAGCTTGAAGCCTTATTTCCCCGCCTCCTGTTTTCACGTTCTAATTTTTCTCCCTTTGTTTCTCCTCTCCTGGGGGTTTGTAAGTTCTGGATGACTTATAACCTGACCTAATGCTTCATGTCTGCTGTTTATTAAACAAGTTAATGCTTGTGGATATTCGTAAAAATGCCGTATTATTTTTATATGGCTCTTTATGAGAGTTGTCACACATTATCTCATGTAGTTCCTTCTGTAGGCTTGAGTCAAGAGTTGTCTGTCATCTTGGTGATAACTGGATGGAGGCCTAAATGCTGTGGGGGGCAAGACCTCAAGAACTTTCAGGTAAATTGAAATTTTTTTCTACTCAACCGGCCAGCAAGAATAGTGCAAACTTGCTGTCTTTACTTAATGTCTTTCTACTTCCTTAATATTCATGCTCCAGCGGAAATAAACTAGTCCTGTGTATTCCAAGGTTAATCACCAAGCGCTAACCTTTTGCAACTTCGTATCCATGCCCTAGTTATTCTTGAGGATGTGCTTCTAGATTCTCCCCAGAAGGAAGTATTGTAATTTTCTCTTGAGCTTCCCTACCACTTTTTGTACCGTTTATGACAACCACTATTTCATATATTATAACTTTTTATGTGCTTGACTTCACTACTTATTATGTTTATACCTAGACAGAATGATTTGTGCCGGGTTCATCTGCCTACCATTCTACCCTGCATGTGGTAGTATTCTGGTAAATACTTAACTGAAAAACTGGTGTCTCCTCAATGCTACTCAACTTTTTTTTAGGTTTCCCTCTGAAAATTTTCCAACATGATTGCCTGTTCCAAATTTGTATTTAAAAAATATAGATAAAAAGGGGCCTCCCTGGTGGCCAGGGGGACAAGATGCAGCCACTGCAGCTATGAGTTCGATCCCCAGCCAGGGAGCTACCCATATGGCGCAGCAGACCTCTCCTGCCTGGTCTGCTGCTCCCCTCAGCAGTGTATTTCAGTCAGTCTGCCTGTTCTGTTCCCCACTCTGTCTCTGGTGAATCCTCTCACCCCCCACATCTCTGGCCTGTACCTCAGCTCTTGTATGCATAAATAAATAAATCTTTAAAAAATATATAGGGGCCTCCCCAGTGGCACAGCGGTTGAGCGCGCTGGGTTGCGAAGCTGCCCGCGTCCTCTGAGGCGCCGGTTCGATCCCCGGCTGCTCCCCCGCCACCGGAGGAGGGTCCCGCATGGTGCGCAGACCTCTCCTGCCGCCCGCTGCTCCCGGCAGCAGTGTGCTTCGGTCCTTCTGCCTGCTCTGCTCCCCGCTCTGGCGCTGGTGAATTCTCTCACCCTCCCGCGCTTCTGATTGTACCCAGTGCTTGTATAAAGAAATAAATCTTAAAAATAAAATTTAAAAAAAAAATCCAAAAAAAAATATATAGAAAAAAAGTTGAAATAACAATAAACACTTATGTATTCATTACTTATATCCAATAGTTGTGGCAATAACATTTTGCCACATTTATTTCATCTCCACTCATACTTTTTTCATTGTCATTGAATCACCTGGAAATATGTTGCTGACACCTATCATTAAGTAGACACCCTTGACATTTCCTGTATTTCCAAAGAATTAACAAAGTTCTGAAAAAGTCACAGTTAAGGAAATTAATAATTTTGTACTGTTTAAAGTCCATTGACTTAAGAATTTCTTTTATACTTTTCCCTGCCTTCCCACAACCCCAAAAATCAGAGTCTAATTAGGGTTTATATATTATATTTGTAACTCTTTAGCCCAAATCTGACCAGTCCTCTTACTGTTTTTTTTCCTTTGTGATATTGGCAATTTGAAGAATTCAGACCAGGGGTCTTTTTGAATGTCTCTTTTATTCTCATTTCTTATAAATCAGAAGTTGGTCTAGAGATTTGATTAGTTTCAGTTTAACATTTTTTGCAAGAATGCTTCTCAGTAGTCAGACTTTTCCAATCATGATTAAACCCTGTAGGATGTAGTTACCTGTATTCATACCATGAGTTACTAATTAAATCCCTCCAACTTCTCAGCAGACATACCCTTCTATGGTGTCCTACAAAGAAGAGTTTATCATTTAATCCTCCTGTCTGTAGAAAGTATGTGTGAGTGCCTTGTAGTGACAACATAGACTGTCTATCTTTAATAAAGTGTTGCTGCTACTTTGCCTACACTTGAAGCTGATGCAATGTAATCTGCAGCAAAGTGTACTGATGTCAGCATAGTTTCATGAGTTTCAACTCTGGCACCCTAAGAACTGTTGATGAAAGATGTGTGGGCCCTGCAATTCAAATACAGATGAATCTTGATATCATCAAAGCAGATAACCAAGGCAACTGCTGGCCATCTGGCCACATTCCAATTTAGGTGCTGTTATTTTTCTTCATGAAATTCTCTTGCACGCCCTAATTGGTCCTGGTGTTTTGTGATATTTTTTTTGTTCACATTGATCAGAGCCTATTAAAAATTGCAAAAATCAAGATTATACTGAACGCTTAGTACATTCTCTGCGGACAGAAAAGTGTTTGCAGAATTTACTTCATATCACACGATGAAAACTCCTAAGACTGCCAAGCTCGTACTCCTCCCTATCCTAGACTTACATTTGATCATGAAAGGTAAGTGAATGGAAGAAGATGCACTTAAGGGAGCAAAAGAAAATGCTCTGAGAGGCCTGAAACTCCTAGATAGATAATGTTTTTAGCTGTCGGACTGAAAGTTAAGTAATGTACTCCATTAGTCACCTTCTTTGTGTAGAAGTGGGACTATGAAACAACTGACTCCAGATTCAAATAATGCAAAATAATATATTAATTAAGACCACAGATTTTAGAATCAGTCCTAGGTTTCAGGAACAGGACCATTCACTCGCTGGTCACTTTGGGCAATTTACTTTCTCTAGAGCCATTAAACTGCTTTGGATTTTTGAACAGAATGATGTCAAATACATATAAAGTGCTTTACCTTGATGTACATAGCACATGATATGTATCAATGTGTGGTTATTATTAATAACTTCTAAAGCAATCCAGTTTGGTCACACAGTAGACATTAGCTATTAAGTGAGTGAAATGAATTTAAGACTGTGGTTCTTCAAGTTTAACCTTAAATTCTTTAAGTAGGAACTTAATGAGAAATTAGAGATTCTGCTTTAGTTAGTCTGGGGAGGGCTCCAGAAAAATCTTTATTTTTTTTAAAGATTTATTTATGCATACAAGAACTGGGGTGTAGGCCAGAGGTATGGGGTGGGGTGGGGGGGCAGTGAGAGAATTCACCAGAGACAGAGTAGAGAGCAGAACAGGCAGATGTACTGAAATACACTGCTGAGGGGAGCAGTGGGTGAGACAGGAGAGGTCTGCTGAGCCATATGGGTCATCTCCCTGGGGGGGGGGGGAATCAAACTCATGCCACAGTGGCTGGCGATAGCTTGATAGTACTGAGACTTAACTCCTTGTGCCACCAGCGGGGTCCAGAAATTATTATTATTTTTAAAAATTATTATTTTTAATAATTTTCCAGGGGATTTAGGTGCAGGTGATCTGAGGATCAGGCTTTGAGAAACACCAAGTAAAGTATCAAACAATTCTTTATTTCCCGTTCCTTGCATACTATTGAAGTAGCCAAATATCTCAGCTGCTAAGAATGTAAAACTCTTCACATTTTCAAAAGGTTAACAATATTTTTAGGACAGTTTCTAATACTGAGTTTTGAAATAACAAAAAAATTATTAGAAAAGGGCATTTTGCATGAGTAGGATGTTATTTTTCTACTGACATAATAGTAGTGTTTGCTGCTGGAATATACCAGAATCCAAATTCACCCCAGAAAAACAGTTCCTGTTCTTAGGCCTAGGCATACATTTCAGAAGCTAGACACCACACATTTTACTCACATGAGTCTGAATTAATTAGTCAAATTAAACATGTTGCAACATTTTTCTACCAGCAGATGCCAGAGAGCAAAACAGAATAGAATCTACTATAGTTTCCAACTACTTGACATATGATGTTATTTGGCATCTCTGGATGAACATTATCAATCCAAATTAAGCACTTTGCTAGCATGTGGGCAGCCACTTGAGTGAGAGTGAATATAACTATGTGTCTGCTGAAAGACACCTTTTTTATGGGCCCCATTTATGCATCCCCAAGTCTTAGTTAAGACAAAAAAATAAGTGTTTTTCCCCCCCTACCATTCCTGCAACCCTGTCTACAACTTGTACTATGCAGATTGAATTTAATTAAAAAGAACTAAATAAACATTCACTAGAGAACATACCTTTATAGTCCTTTATATAAACAGGATTGCTTGTGGTGCCTTCCTCAGTTCCCAAATATTATATTTTTGTTTCTTAATTTCCATTAATGATAAAATAAGACAGCTTGGCATACAGTGTTGTAGTGGCTCTGTTTTATTGAAGTAGAAAAGTCAAGTGACTGCAGTGACTGAGCAGGTAAAGAAATAATGGGCAGCAGTGGCGATCGGAGAACTCCCTGTGCTCATCCAAATGCAGCATCACCTCCTGGCCCTAGCCAAATTTTGCCATGTGGGAGTATGGACCTCATGTTGCCAGATTTGTCAAGAGGAGCTGAAATTTGGACTTTATGTGAAATCTCCTGATTTTTAAACAGTGGTTCGAATACTTTTTAAACAGCTAGCATGCCAGTAAAACATTTAACTAGACAGGACCAAGGGACACCAGTTTATGACCTCTGTTTCCTACATGAAAGTATGATTGGTACTTTGGTTGAGAATCTCAGAATGCTTTAGAAATGCTTTTTTGCCATTTTCCAGGTGCATTTACTTCTGTAAGTTAGGGATCCATGGATTGTCACCATCCAAAATATAAATTCTTACAGACTTCAAGCTTCTATTCCCTTGATTACTGCCTACTTTAAATTTTGTCCACATTTTCTCAACTTACCTCTTCTCTGGTGGTCTAGTGGTTAGGATTTGGAAAACTCACATTTTCTTGACTTTAATTATATTATGAAATAGAATAACAATTATATTTTTTAAACATACTTAAGAACAATTTGACAGCATATGCTGCTTTAAAAGTAAATCAAGTTTTTAAAGGAAAACATCTTCAAATAGATGAAGGTATCTTATAGTTACCGTGGTATTGATGAGAATTTAAAGGAATTTTAGAGTAAGAAAGCCCCTTAATGGGAAATCTAAAACAAGTCCTTTATTGTAACAATAGGAAAATTAGACCTAGGCTAATAAATGTCACACTGTATTTCTAAGTACTTTCACATCCACTTTTCATTTGAACCTTGCAATCCAGCACAAATACTAAACATGTTTTTTTTTATGAGAAAATCCAACCTTTGATTACTTAAGAAATGTATTCAAGCTCACATACTAGTTAGCAGTAGAACAAAGTACAATTTTCTACCCCATTTAAAGATGATATGTGAAATAGATTGATCATGAAAAAATGTAAAAAAATTCCACAGTAAGTTTCTGTTTTAAAATTCTTACTGAACTTATCTGTCATAGCTAGTTTAAAATACTGGGATCCCGGACCTCCCCGGTGGCGCAGTGGTTGAGAGCTGGGTCGCGAAGCTGCCCACAGCCTCTGCAGCGCCCTTTCGATCCCCGGCCGCCAGGCGGGTCCCACATGGTGCACAGACCTTTCCTGCCGCCCACTGCTCCCTTCAGCAGTGTACTTCGGTCCTTCTGCCTGCTCTGCTCCCAGCTCTGACTCTGGTGAATTCTCTCACCCTCCCGCGCTTCTGAGTGTACCCAGTGCTTGTATAAATAAATAAATAAATCTTTAAAAAAAAAAAAAACTGGGATCCCTAGAATACTCTGAAACATTAAATATCAAGCTTTTTAAGTGGGGTTCTTTATAATTAGGATAAGCTGATATGTTTAGCTAAATTAATGAAGAAAAATTATGCTGTGATGAATTATGATGAGCTAATGACAGGTTAGGAGTGGTAAGCTCATTTATGGATAACCACATTGACCCAAAAATGACTCCACGGAACTGCTAGCAAAGATCAGATATTGGACTAAGGAGGCTTGAGTATGACCTGGGAGGACAGATTTAAAAACACCCAGTTCCTGTCCTGTGCATTATTTAGAAACCAAGTCTTGACGTTAGCATCAACAGTATGTTATCATCTTGATATTTGATCTGGATGAATGTACTTTGAGTTACCGGAGAAGGAATTTTGATTTTAGTAATTTATTCCTCTTCTCACTCTGCCCCTGTATTTTCCAGGTAGCTTGATGAAAATAGGTTGCAACCTAAAGCTAATAATCCTGATCAGCTATTTCACCCATGATCTTGGTCTCAATATGTCCTCATTTAGTTAATCTAAAAAAAATTACAAATTTTGTAAGTTTTTAAAGTGCAGATTTTTTAAGTGTTGCATATTTCTAATCATGCTATAAAAAGATTCACAGACAAAAAGCAGTTTTTTTTCCTGTTAGTGTAAGAATATTACTTCTGACAGCCTTTATCATTTTAAAATCTGCCATAGTAGTCCATTGTATAGCTGTTCCATAATGTAATCTTTGACATATTGAACACTGATTCATCTATTACTGAAAATTTTGCTATTCACTGCATTGCTTTAATGAACATGCTTATGTTCACATTTTTATACACTTGTGCTTTTATTTCATGAGGGCTCATTACTAGAGGTAAAATGTTTGGGTCATTACAAAATATTAATGGATACTACAAGATATTAAGATACTACAAAATATGCCTCTAAAAGAGCAATATCAACAAACACCCACCAAGAGTTTTCCCATTTCCTTATGCCTTCCTTAATTGTGGATATTCCCTAATTGTGGACCCTAACTGTCAGACTTCTGACTTTATTGCAATTTCAAAAGACATAACACATCAAAATGATGCCACAATGATTTTCACCTTCTTAATGAGACCATAGTGATTTTTCTATTCAAATTGCAGTATCTACCCCCACAGCAGTCCTAAACCCCTGTAGACTATTTTATTTTCTATACCACTTGCTGTCTTCTAGCAGTCTATTGTTTCTCTCCCTTTAAGCTATACTTGTAAACTCCAGAAGGCCAAAGGTTTTGCTTGTGGTTTCTTTGTTCACTAATGAACACTGCGTGCATGGTAGGCACTCACGTATTTACTAAATTGAATGACATGGCACTTGTGCAATACACATGAATTTCAGCCATAGCTGGTATGTTTCTTTTTTGGCCCATCTGCCCCTGGGCTTTCATACATCTGACCTTACCAGTAAGAAAATTCCTTTAGTAGCAGCCACATTTCCTTAGAGCACTTTACACCAGAACACTCACATTGGCTTATTAGCAGGCCACCTGGAGAAGGAAATAAATGTTCCCATTCTGGACTCCTGGGCAGTTGATTATCATGACAATGTAGCCTTGCCAGTGCAGGCCATCCAGCCACTACCTTGGCTTATTTTATCCCTTCCCTTCCGGTTTCTCTCTTGCCAATGCCTAGGGGGGCCTAGGAACAAGAACCAGCCCTAGGAAAGCAGACACTCTGCCTCCCAAGTGAAGGCACTAATCTTCCCCACACCAGGCCCAACCAGCTCTCTACCAGGCCCTTGGCCCCACGCCCTTTGCAGTAACAGTGGCAGCTTAGTCAAACACAGAACTGAGGTTTGGTTGATGACCAAGTTTCATTATTTTCCTCAGGCCAGATTTTGGATGAGAGTTACACATACGAGAGTAAAGGATAGTGATTGAATTCTGAGTAGCTGGTACTGCTTCTCTAATAAACGGCTAAGTTTAAGTATTCACCCAACATTTTAGGACTTTGGTGATATAAAAACTCTTAGTTGCTATTTATTTTCTTCACATATATCAATATCTATAATATCTAGCCTTTGAGACGCTTTTCATGTCAGATTTGCACCAAATAAGAGTCTAAGGAATATTTTCATTGTGATGTCTTAATGAAAAGGTGGTTTATTCTAGCTATAGTCAGGCTAAACAGAGATCTATGATGTTGTTAACCTCAACATAACTTGGGAAAAAAAGGAAATGGTCATGAGGTGCCACTGGCAGGACTAAGTAACAAAGAGAAAAGAGTGTGGCAGAAGGCGCTATGCTTTCTAAGGAAACTGCGTATTACATTTACCTCAGATTCTAGTTAATAGTGAGTTGCTCTATTCCTGGTCCACTTAGTCCTTCACTTCCAGAGCAGTGTAAGGGTAAATTTTAATCACAAAGTCCTGGAAAGTGTATAGAGGTTCCTCAGGAACCTATTTAGATGTTCAGGGAGAAGGAAAGAGGCTTGGCATAGAGAGTAATAGAGAGTTAAGAAGCTTTTACTAGGAATGTTAAAGTTGTAGTAGGTTGGGAATAACTTAAGACCAGATACAGCTTCACTTCATTATTACTAATTTGCAGTGGGTGGTGAAAGCAGGCACCAAGCCAGCATCACCACTTTATAAATAATAAATCTTTCTTCTGCAGTGGTGGTGATGTAAAAAAAAAAACACATGGTAAGGTTGCATCAGTATGATGAAATCTCACAAAATGGGTGGGACTGTCTGAAGAAGCATCTGTGTTTGGAATGGGATTTTGCTACAAATTAGTGCAGAACACCTTGAATATACAGCATAGCAATACCAGGGTCATAACACTGAGAACAAATACCATCAGCAAGAAGTGCCGTATATGCCTAGAATATTCATAACAAAGTATTCCTATGACAGAATTCACTGGCATATTAGCGTATCTCTTGTAGTAAAGAAAAACAGTAAACTGAAAGCATATCACTTCTGTACAAGGATTAACGTACCTGTTTTTGTTGCTTTTTAAAAAGTGGCAGTTGTGTACAGCCAGTAACTGGTCCTTAGAATGCTTATCATTGTAACAAAGGGATTACAAAAAAAAAAAAAAAAACAGCTATTGGCTATGGAGAAAAGTGGAACTGTTAGGAAATGTTTACTTACCACCACCTCCTTTCCCTGCCTGCCTGCCTTACTCCACCTCCCAAATGGTCATACTTTTTTTTTTTTTTCCACTTCATCCACCATTCAGAAGAGATGCTTTTACTAACCAAAATGGCTGCACATAAATGCTTTTTCCTCAGCTGTTACCTATTCGCTATTTGTCTAAACAATCAAGCCCTGCCAATTTCTCACTCAGATGGGAAAAATTTAGAACACCAGCTTTCCTATTAACACCACTATTGGTTAATGAAAGTTTTCAAGATCTAGATATTAGCATGAACAATCTCAGCTTATTTCAATGAAGACTCAGTAAACTTATGGAAGGACAGGGTAGCTCATTTTCTGTGGGAATTGGTGCTTTTACTTCTTAAGCTACAATGAAAATGACTCAAGCAATATGCTGTGGAAATTCATTCTTGAATAATTGATTTCTCATTGAAGGAAAGAACTTGTGTCCAGATTCAGCTATGGCGGAAGTGAAGTCAATGTTCCGAGAAGTTCTTCCAAAACAAGGTAACTAAATCCAAAATACTTAGGCCATAGAATATGATAGGGACCTACAAAGTTAACAGGCAATTTACATAGCAGCATCTGTAGCTGAACATCTGAAACTGCTTTGTGTTCTATATGCCACATTTACTGTCCACTTTTACTATGCTGCTTTCATGAGTAGGTTGTGAAGGAGTAATCATCACATTTTCTTCCTTGTAAAATGATGACAAATGATGCAGTTTCTTAAACTTAGTTGTTACACCCAACTGTAAATTACAATATGAAATTTTCAATTAAAATAAATTTCAATTAAAATTATAATTCATATTAAATAAGGTAATTTAAATGCTTGTTAAATACCATATTTTGTATTTTTATGCAATATATATTTCTCCCAAATATTTTTTTTTTAATAAATTTTATTTTTATATTCCCCATACAATTGCAGCCCCCCCATTCTGACCCCAATCCCTCCCCTCCCGCCCCTGCCCCCCTAAAAGTGTCTCTGGTTCATAGTTTTTTGTTGATTTTGATTTTCACTTTCTTATAGTTATTCATTTTCCTGGTCCCTTATTTCAGTTTTCTAGATTCCTGCTATGAGTGAGACCATCCGGTATTTTTTTCTTTTTGGCTTATTTCGCTGAGCATGATCCCTTCCAGCGCCATCCATGTTGCTGCAAATTGCATGTGTTTGTCTTTTTTGAATGCTGAGTAATATTCCATGGTATATATGTACCACATCTTCTTGATCCAGTCATCTATTTTTGGGCATTTCTCCCAAATATTTTCAAATTGAAAATTTGACCCCACAAGTTTGCTCATGCTAGCTTAAAATCTTAGAAAGCTCAAAACTTACCTTCCTCATGAACTCCCTAGCATTCAAGTGTTGCTTTCATACATTACTTTATATTGCAGAACTACTGCAGGGTAACATGAGAACATGGGATTTTCAGACAGTGAATTAAGTTTTTAAGACTTTAATTCTAGCTGCAAATCCAGACCACCAAACAACTGGGCTATCTCATGCAAACTAATTCTTTCTTCTTTTTAAACTTAGGGCAGTTGTCTGTGGAGGATATAAGCACAATGGTGCTGTGTAAGCCCAAACTTTTACCCTTAAAATCTGTGACTCTGGAAAAACTGGAGAAAATGCAGCAAGCAGCACAGGATACGATTCGTCAGCAAGAAATGGCAGAAAAGGAACAGCAAATAACTCACTGAGTAACTTACCACTTCTGTAGGACACCTATCTGCTGCTGATTAATAGCTAGAAAATAATCTGCATCTGTAGCTGAAAGTATGTGTGTAATAAAACTGAGTGTTCATATAAATAATGTAAGAATGCCCAACACTAATAAAATTTGTATTGTAAAATTTGTATTGTAAATTTAAACATTCTGGTTTGTAAATTTAAACAATTTAAAAACTTTGAACACTCTTTTTTTTTAAACCCATTTTTAGAATTGCAAATTATTGCTCATTATTATGCCCAAATGACTAAATGCAACTTTTATATTCAGAGATGACATACTTAATAAAAATTGAATTCAAAGATACACATTCTAAGCTTATGTTGTGTAAGATTTTTAAAACTTTTTCCTGAATTTTGTGTCATGTCACTTTTAAGGCTATCTTGCCTGACCAATTGATCACAATGTTTAAAGACAAAACTCTATTAAATTTTAAGAAAGTTTCACCCATCCAATAGTCCCCTGAGCTTTTAATTATACTGATTTTAAGGATTTAGGAATTAATACCTTCTTCAGGTCTCAAGCAAACCCTGAAAATATTAATATGAACTTGAAAGAATCCATGAGGTAAAATATGAACATTAAATTTGGAGTTTTGGTTATAAAAAACTGTACCTAAATGTGTATAGATATATTACTAAGTATACCTTTGTAAATTCTGAATGTTTCTTGCTTGGTTTGCTGCAGTCAATAAGCAACAATTTAAATTAGCATAAATCTTGAGGGCCTGCTGACTAATTGGGGTCTGCATGCAAAACAGGTTAGAAATGTGATCATTTAGATGTTATATTGGTAGCTACTTCTTTCTCAGACACTGGATAATGTAAGACTTGAGTCTTTGAAGAATAATCTTTTTATAACACTGTTACAGAATTTAAGGATTATGAAGGTGTTACTGTGTTTTAGAAATTAAGCTCTACATAAGATCAAAAAACAAAGTGTACATGCATTTTACTTAGTATAATATTAAAAGAACTTACAACTGTACTTTTGATTTAAAAGTTTACAAGGGACAAAGCTTAAATTCACTAAGTTCTAATATGATTTAAAATGTGCTAGGTAGAAAAAGTTTAAGTGATCTGAAATAAACAAACTCCCAATAAAGAATCAACACTGCTTCACATGTTTTATTTTTGTCATACATTCTTCCAGAACCAGGTTCACTTTTCCAGTTTGTAGAAAAATAGATGTTCCAGCCACCATTTACTTAACTGTCTAGTCTTTAAGACTAATCAGTATGTTCCCTGGAAAGATAAGTTTCATGACTAACTCGTTTTCTTAAAATTCTTTAAGACAAAGAAATACTTTTTTTTTTTTACTCCCAAAGCACAGTATTTCAACAGCAGCAGCCAACATGGGGTTTTAGCAGCTTAACTTTACCCCCTAAATAAAGCTTTGTATAAACCAGTGATTTTACTACAAAAACACTGTCCTTGAAAGAAGGGTGGCAGTCAGACACTGATGCAAAACTTGGAATGATTAGGTCATAAACATGGCACTTACAAAAGTTAGCTTATGAGAATATTCCACTTAAGAAGTGGTTACTTTTCTATTCCCCCATCCTTTACTCAAAAAAAAAAGAAAAAAGAAAAAAAAGAAAAGAAAGAAAACAAAAAAATTTTGCTTTAAAAATTTCCCTTAAATGTAAGTTTATAAAATTTCAGAAATGCCTTGTACTGAAAACAAGTGCTTTAATTAAAAAAAAAAAAAAAAAACCTGTGCTAACAACTCTTACAATTCAGATATATATAATTTTATAGTATCTAAGACTGCAAGAGTTCTTATATTCAGTAGCTCTCTGGTTTAAGACGACCTCCATCTCCTTCACTTACAAAACGTTTTCTGCCCCTGTAAATGAAAAAAATACAAACATGAAAACAGATAAAAATTTTGACTATATGTAAATAAAAAAAACTAAACAGTAGTTTTTGATTACTTATATTAAGTTTTGAAGGATTTTATTGTCATTTAAGGACAGAGGTCCCTAATGCTTTTTTTTTTAAAAAAAGATTTATTTATACAAGCACTGGGGTACAGGCCAGAGGCGCGGGAGGGTGAGAGAATTCACCAGAGACAGAGAGAGGAGCAGAACAGGCAGAAGAACCAAAGTACACTGCTGAGGGGAGCAGCCTGCAAGACAGGAGAGGTCTGCCTCGCCATGTGGCAATCTTCCTGGCTGGCCAGGAATCGAACTGGTGCTGCAGAGACTGTGAACACCTTCACAGCGCTGTGCTTAACCTGCTGCACCACTGATGCCTCTAATGCTTTTAAAAGTACTTTTTCCCTGCTACATATCCTCGGTTATAAATGCAAATGATGCCTTTATGAGCAGTTTTTAGTTAAATGAAAGCTCAATTACTGAAATAAGTCCACTGTCCAAATGGAGTAATCTAAAAAAAAAGTTAAATTATTATTAAGGCAAACATTGTGCTAGTTAGAAATTTAATACAACACTGTTATTTGAAAGCTAAACAGTGAGCCAAGTTAGGAAATACCAACATGATTTCAAATTTTGCAAACTAGCTATTGAACCTATCAAATTAGCTATGTTTAAGATTTTTTCCCCCTCAGATGTAGAAAAGCCATAACCTTAATATAGAAAAATAAATCAGAATCCAATTAAGTCAAGTCTACACCCCATTTTGGGATTCCTGCTATTTCAAACGCAGAAGACCTTCTATAATATAACCACACTCTACCTACATGTAGTAGCAACAGCCCAGGGAGAAGAGCTGACCAGCAGCCTAACATATTTGGAAAACAGAACTTGGGCAGGATTAGCGCTTATTCTCTAACCTGAGACCAATATGCACAGGCATTCAAAGCCATACATAAATGGGCACTTCACCCAAGTAAGCACAAGGATAGAGGATAAAAAGTCAAAGTTCTATGGTACACACAGAAAGTTTAGGTATCACCTCAAATAATCCTTGAGAATAACATCACAATAGAAATAACCAGTTATGCTTTTGAACAGCAGTGGAAAATTCTTAAAGTCAATACCAATGTGTTACCACCACTTTTCATACTAAGTCTAAATGGAATCCAGCTACATGAAGGATTCAGACTATAATATTAGGAGACCAAGATGGGGAACAAAGCAGCCTTGCTTAATGAAGTTGACGGTTTTTACTGACGTCAGTATATAAGGTGCCATTAACAAGTAGTTTATTTTATTAGTCATTAAACTATATTTTCTACCATTTTCTTTTTCTATCTCTTGATGGTTTCTAAAGTTTGTAGAGCAAAGGACACTACGAGGAATATTTTTCTGAGATTTAATTCTCACAATGCACTTGTAAAAATATGCAAAACAGAATTTTCAGATAAAAATCACAAACTTTAAAAATGTACATAAAACAGACTCCTCAAGTCTAGCTTTTGTAACTGTTTCATTATGTGCTTTATTTTAAAAATAAAAAACTCCTAAAGAGGTAGATTCCTAATATCACAAATATACGTCCAGAGAAACACACACACCCACTTTCTAGAGCGAGAAGACTCAACTAGCCCTGATTCTCCAGTCTATGAAGGAGCAAAGGAAGCTACATAGAATACAAGCATGAGTCTAGATTTCCGAAGCCAAAGAAAGTCTGAGTTCATTCTTGGCTTCAGAAAAAGAACATTACGCTTCTCTAAATCCCAATTTTCTCATCTTATTGGTGAATTTCTATACCGAAGTAACATTTAAGCTATTTAGAACACAGTCTGGTACACAGAACTATTCCAGGAAATTAATTTCCTTCCAGTGAACTAGGATTTCATGGGGGACAGATTTACAAAGGGGTAAACTTTATAAACTTCACCCTTGTTTCTCCATAAACTCAGAACAGAAGATTTTCACTCTTGAGTTACTTCAAGGAAGACAGTGTTTTATTCTGACAGGGTTAGAATGATAGAAAATTAGCTTAACCTTCGTAAGCATCTTAGCTGGTATTTTATGTTTAGAAAGTAATAAAGTACCTTGAAGGACAAAGATCTCTAAGTTGTTTGGAAATTATTCCAGCTTGAAAACATTCCTCTACAAATCGCTCAAGCACAGAGTAAGAATGTGGAACATCTAGATTAATGTCCGGAATTTCATTGTAAATTCTCTCATAACCCTAAAATAATGAAATTAGATAAGGAATTTATTGCCCATATAAAATACATAATACCATTACTTTTATCAAGTTACATTAGATGCCAAAGGTCCATAATAAGTAGAAGTCAGATCTGAACCTTGAAAAGTATAGGTAGCAGAGTGTTTTCTTTAAAATTATTCTCCTGAAACAGCTTCAGGCAGATATCAGACATTGGATACATTTCTTCACATCATTTCTCTAGATACTTAAAATGATTTTTTTTAATTTTACTAATGCAAACAAATTAAAATAGAAATTAAGCATATAATTTGTTAAAAGTTCATGTTTCTCTCTAGATATAAAATACAAATTATCCTATCTCAGAGATAGAATCCATGAGGAAGAACATATAACCACATATTTTAAAATACAGGTAAAAAAGTAATTGAAGTGTTACTTTCTAAGAAATAGCTACAAGAGATTCAAACATAAACATTACCATAAAAAAAAAGCTACACACATAACACTACTAATAGGTACTGTTATTATAACTAAAAACTATCATTTATAATTCATAATCTTTATTATCAAATATTTAAAACAGAAGCCTAAAAAGTATTCAAAATAACATTACTTACTCTCTTCATTTGGTCTAAAGTAATGGCAGAAGACTTCCAGAGGCATTTTAATAAATGCAAAATCATCTTAAATGTACTTTCTCCAGTTGACTCTAAAACCATTACAATGGCCTAAAAATGGAATGAATGAATTTTGGGTCATTAATTCATATAAGAAACTGCTCCTTAATAAATTTTTAAAAGGAAAAAGCTGTATATTATTAAAGAATCATTAGGTCACTGTGTGCAAAAAAGAAAATTTAGCAATTCTCTTTGGAATGTCAAAGTAATCTTACTTCATATACAAGCTCATGGTGAAAATGAGGTACTTCCAGTTCCTTAAGGCAATGTTCAGCTTCAGCTATGTCTCCAGAGAGTAAATACTCTTTCAGCAGCATATCAATCTATTTGATTTAAAATTGAGATGTGTTAGAATTTCTGATTTTTTAAAAAGTACTTTGCCTAAAGCACAGGATAAAATTGCAGGTCACATCATCTGTATAAGAACATATGTCTGGCATGGCATGTCACTATCATAACACAATCTTTTTGTAATCAAAAAGTAAATCCACATACTTAAAAAATAAATGGTGAGTGGTTTGTTGTGTCCTAATATTATCACTGAGATCTATGAGTAGATTTCAGATCTACATGGCCTGAGTTGTAACCATGTTCTTCAGAGCGCACTGTAAAATAATGGATCTTAAATACCACTAGAGGGCACTAACTGAAAGTCTCAAAATGGATTTTTAACATGGCACAAACTGCATGGAAAACCAAAAAACAAGAATAATGACTATAGGGCTTTACTAGACAGGGCAAAGACTTCCATATAGTTTCTCTCTTCTCTACACCTGAATTTGAAACCCATTATCTAAAATGTCCATGAGTAATAGAGCTTCCTGTTACAGTAAGAGACAAATCTTGTCTTTTCTTGTTCAAATTTACACAATAACACCTACGGCTCCAGAGAAAAAGTGAAAAACAATTTCAGCACAAAAACTTCAACTACGTACGTTCTTTCTATACACCACTTGTTAAAAATCATCTTTGTACCTAGTAGACACTCAATGGATGTTGGATGACTGGACAAAATAACGTTACTTATCTTCTACTTTCAATTTCTTTTCTTTTTTTTAAGATTTATTTATTTATGCAAGAACTGGGGTACAGGTCAGAGGTGTGGGAGGGTGAGAGAATTCACCAGAGACAGAGTGGGAAGCATAACAGGCAGACAAACCAAAGACACTGCTGAGGGGAGCAGCGGGCGAGGCAGGAGAGGTCTGCCTCACCATGTGGGTTTCTCCCTGGCCAGCCGGGAATCAAACCAGCGCTGCAGAGGCTGCGGACAGCTTCACAGCGTGGCGCTCAATCCACTGCTCCACGGGGGAGGCCCCTACTTCCAATTTCTAGAAAGTATTTTCATAAAAGATACA